TATTTCGTACAGTTCATGTTCCAATTATTAACGGATGCTAGAGATGTGCCCTATCAGCAAATGAAGATCCCCGAAACGTTGCTACATTTGCGACACCATGGTCAACTTGCAGCTTTTCTCCAGTCACATTCTGAGGGGCTCATCTTCTGGCACTGTATCTGAGAATATTCTGGAACTACTCATCATGTTTCAATAGGTCAACGTTCTAGTGCTACCTCACACTGTCTCAGAAGGTTTTCAGTAGCTAAGCATTCGGAGGTAGTCCACCTGGTCTCCTAAGTCTGTCTTAGTCTGAAAACTCATCCACACCACAGGTAACCCTGCAGGCATTCAAAATACCAGCACTACAACTAAACACTAACCTTCTGTAATTGTTCCAGCCCCAGAAGATTCAGTAAGGCCATATCCCTGGCCCACAGGACAGCAAAAACAGATATTCATGAACCGCTGAGTCGTTGCAGAAAGTGGAGCACCTCCACATAATAGAAGTCGAATGTTTCCACCTATCAAGCTTCGTACTTTCCAAAAAACAAACCTAAAAAAGACAAATCAAGAATGATAAGATTTTAAAGCTGAATGGAATGTTCAAACTCATTTAGACGAATCCCCCAATTTTGATACATGAGATTCTGAAATTAAGGAACTTATCCAAGTCAGAGACCACTTCAGTTGATTCTCCTTATCCACTATGCAAATCTTTAATGTTAATATTTCAAACGGGTACAGACACAGGATTTTCTCTTACACACGTTTCAAGTTCATACATGCAATATTGCTCAGTCATGGAGACACATGAAGTTATGATACATGCAGACATGTATTAGCCTTAAAAATATGCTGAATGATGTTTTAGCATACCTAGCTACCTATGTATCCATCCCTAAATTATTAATATTACTGTTGAAGAATTATCTATTATTATAATCACTGATGTAACCTCTTCGCCTGTGTTTCTCCTAGTGTCTTTCTTTCTTTTTCTTGGTCACATTGTGCTGATTTTCCCCACACTGTGTATGATCTTCCCCTTCATCATTATTTGATGTGTTTTCTATCTAGTTAGAAATTTTCTCTCCCAACACTGGCTAAACAATGGTTTTGGCTTTTAAAATAGTGGTCTAATACAATATTTGTCCTTTTGTGGTTGATTTACTTCACTCAGTAAAATGTCTACCACACCCATCCATTTTGTGAGATGTTTCAAACACTCAGTTCTGCCATTCTCTACTGTGCAGTATTCCACTGTGTGTGTATACACAGTTTATTTGTCCATTCATCTGATGGGCACTTAGGTTGTTCTATCACGTTTGATATTGTGAATAATGAACACGGGTGAACATGTCTACTCATGTCACTTCTTATTTCTTCAGGGTATTTATCTAAAAGTGGTATTGCTGGACCTTACAGTAATTTTTTTTTTTCTAGAATTTAAAAATCCTTAAAAAGTGTCCAAAGCAGCTTATAAATCTCATCTAAGAAATAACTGACAACCAGTCTAAGAAAGACTGGTAAGGAGAGGCAGATTACTTCTGAATTGTTTAGTCACTGAAAACTTTATGAACAGCAATGGAACACTCAGATATAGTGCCAGAAGATGAGACAGCCCTTCAGGTTTGAACACACTCAAAATCCTACTGGAGAAGAGCTGCCTCCTGATAAAGTAGACATCACAGACATGTGTGGACTTCAAGCTTCATCTGCACATGAGGCACAACATAAACGGAGAACAGTTACAAAAATAACCAACCATTAATAACTGGAACATGGAATGTATGAAGAATGAATCAAAGAAAATTGGAAATTGTCGAAATGAAATGAAATGCATAAAGATCAACATCCTAGGCAGTAGTGAGTGGAAATGGACTGGCATTGGCCATTCTGAATCAGACATATGGTTTACTATACCAGCAACAACAAATTCAAGAGAAGTGACACCGGATTCATCATCATAAAGCATTTCGTCTCTCACACTTTGGACAGGCTATCAGGAGGAACCAGTCCCTGGAGGACACCAGGCTTGGAAAAGTGGAGGGGTCAGCGAGAAAGAGGAAGACCCCCAACAAGATGGATTTACACAGTGGCAGGCAATGGGCTCCAACATGAACAACTGTGAGGATGGTACCAGACCAGGCAGTGCTCCGTGCTGTTGTGCCTGGGACTGCAGAAGGCACAACAAAAGCCATGGCACCCAACAACAATAAGAAAAGTAAGGCAGGGGAAAACCTCAAACATGAGAGACATGTGAAAATGGCAATGGTATCTAAATTAAAAAAATGATTGTCCTACATTTTCTAACGAACCCCCAGTATGAGAGACAGGTACAGTATCTGTAACAACGGGCTGAAAGCCTAACAACTGTGAGTGGGGTGCAGGACGAGGTAGTAGCCCATTCGGTGAAGCATAAGGAATTGGGCTGCCTTGCCAGCACCTAATACAAACATAAAATTATTTTATAATAAAATCATAAATCTACATTAACCTGTTGTTTCAAATGCTGTCGAGTTGGTTCCAATTGATAGCGACCTGTATAGGTTTTCTGAGGCTGTAAATCTTTGTGGAAGCAGATACTCAATCTTTCTCCTGCACTTAATCTATTGTTGTTGTTGTT